CTTTGGACCAGATGGATCTGACAGATATATTTAGAACTCTACATCCTGAGGCCAAGAAATTCACTTTCTTCTCAAGTACATATGGCACATTCTCCAAGATAGATCACATACTGGGACATAAAGCAGGCTTCAATAAATATAAAAGAATTGAGATCACATTTAGCAGCTGATAGATCTATTATGTAGTCTTTAAGGTCTATTCTGCTAAAAGTTGTTATGGACTCTCATTTGTGATAGTGCTCATTTCTTTGTGTGACATTTTTACTGTAAGATCATGTTCATCAAACTTTGTATGTGCCCAGAAGGACATACAACAGGTGCCTGAGGATACACTAAACCCAAGAACAAAGTGAATTTAAATCTCAACTGAGGGTATTTCATTCACAGTGAAGGTGAATTCAAACCTCAGTCCCACATTAGGCTTTTCTCTGCTACTCAGAGCCTACAAAATTTTTCTTGAAGAACAGATTTGGGTTTTAGTGTTTCCATTTCCTAAAAATGTGTCTCCTCCATGATCCTGAATTTATTCAGAATTTCTGTTCTACCTCCCTACCCTGTACAAGCCAAGGGCCTTGTCTTCTGATCCCAGTGTGGCTATTAAATCAAAAACTCTGAGTTACCAGAATATGACAAATGTCCATAGGACACCTGCTGGCTTCAATGCATACTTACTACTCTGGAAATGTATTCCCCCTCATTTGTGGTCTCAGATCATTTCTCTTACCTCCCTGCAAGGTCACAATACATTTTTAAAGATTTTTAATGTTTTATTTATAATTTTTTATGAGTTTTGCATTGGGAATATTCTCTAGATATCTACTCCACTGTATTTCCAAAAAGTGAAATCTAACTCCTTCTTTTAAGATATCTAATTACAAAGTTTATAATCTTCAGTTTAGAATAGGGCATTTTTCTTCAACCTGAGTTTTAAAGTTTGAAATTTTTCATCTCCCATCACAACATAAGATTAATTTCGATCTTTGTTTAAATTCCAAATGTACTACAAAGCCACCCCAAAATCAAATAACTTACCAATTATACCACTGCATAAACAAAAGTAAAATGGAACAAAATATCTCTGTGAGCAGTATTAGAGGGAGACAAAACACCATAGTGATAAAGCACAACTTTTACTAGTTATTATTTAGTAAACTTGCCAGAGTTAGTTGAAACCAGTTCTAAAACTTGATGGTTGTGTGAGCTTAGGTAAATTACCTCAAATGGCTGCTCTCAGTTTTTTTAAATGTACAGTTTAGAACTTGAGTTAATATCCGTAATGTATCAAAAGTTCTACCCGTAGGCATCTGAATAAAGTATTCAATTTAAAATTACGTAAAAGAAAAGCATTAATATTCCAATCAGCAATGATCATAACTCAGAAGAATATACAAAAGTCTCATTAAAGGGGAATTATGTATGCAACTTAAATGGGTCAATAACAGTGCTTTTGTGTATGTATACATATGCATACATGTGTGTGTGCTCACTGATAAACATAAATAGATAGGTTTTAGAGGCAGAGAGATAGGAAAAGAAGAAAAGGGAGAGAAAGAAGAAGAGGGAGGGAAAAAGAAGAGAATAAAATAAACGTGGCAAAATACTGAAAACTGATGAATCTGAGTCAAGAAGCCTTGGGAGATCTCTGTACTACTCTTACAACTTTTCTTTAAGTCTAAAATTACTTCAACATTAAAAAAAAGTGTCATGAAGTCAGTGTTTAAATAACATATATCTTGGCTATATAAAACAGAAGCATCCTGTTCTTCTATCATGGGAAGTGAAGAAAATCCCATGAAGGGACATTATAAAGTTATCATTCACCAACTGTTTCAGTATCACATATGTTTGTTGCTATAAATACAAACTGATCTATTTGAATTCTCTATTAATGACAGGTTGTACAACTACATAAAAATGTATAACATCCTAAGGGGTAAACACTTCAGGTGAGATTTTCAAGCCAAAGGTAATTTGGGAAGAAAGCTCACACGTAAGCTGAGAGAGCATTCCAACATTAACTCCTGGCTTCCTCCAAAGTCAGCCTCAGACGAGCAAGGGGAGTAAGAATGCAGAGCATTCAGCATTGCAGGAAATGTGTGTCGGGTGTCCCAGCATCTTGGAAGTGCAAATTCAGCAGGTAACATAAAACTCCCTAACTCTGCATTAAATTCTGGCACAGACATCACAATATATCTCTTTCCTTAAGAGTCTATATTTGTATTTAGCTTCTCAGAATGTCAAAATAATAGTTACAGCCAATGATAATTGTTGAATATTAATCGCAGTATATGTTTAAATTTTTTTTAATAAAATAAAATAATGCAGCAAAGACAGAGAGAGTGTGAGCCTCTTTGCTTCTCTTTGACAGAACTTTTAATTTTAAACTCAGTAGGAAACAAGATAATGACTGCAAAAGCCAACAAGGAGTCTAAGATGTTTATTACAAACCAGTTTCTTCAGGATCATTTGCAGGTAGCTGAAAGTCAAGACAATTTTGAACCAATGAATGTGTATAATTGATTAATAAATAGCTCAATACTGATTAAACTCTACTTTCCATCCCATTTCTTAGTTTTCTAATATATTCTACATAAATCTTTCTCTGAAATCTGAGGTCAAGAGATAGAATTGTGGAGTAACATTTTCAAGTATTTTCCCCTCTGGCTATGCCACCTGGAAAGAGGAAGATTGTTCACAATATAAACATTCTGTAGCAATTGCAACAAAAACAGGACAATGATACCTACAATTCTTTCTTTCGCTTATTTCTTAAAGTCTTAAATCTTAATTTTAAATGTAGAAGGCATACACCTTTTATAAGAACGAGTGACCCTGCTGCAGGCATTCTCACTCAAATGAAATCTAAAACTTTGGTGTGAGGTCATTAAACTATTCCTAGGGCACCTTTTTTACTCTAAAAGCCTCAGTAAGCGATTGAACTTCTAATTTGAATAATTGCATTCCACCAACATAAATTCCCTCTGTAGTTTCAACTGTATGCAGTATCAGTCTTCATTCCTGAGTTAAATTAATGTTGAGTAATGTGGTGCTTCTTAAAAAAAAAAAAAAAAAAAAAGTGCATCTACTTTCATAGTAACCTTTCAGCAATGAATAGAAGTGATTCATGTCCACGAGAAGGGAATAGGTCAGTATGAATAATTTCTGCCAGCATTCTCTGTGTGTATAGCACTGCAAAAGGTATATCTCATCCAAAAAAATGGATATACTTATACAACTTTATTTAAAAAATCAAATGCTTCATAAACTGAATCCTGTTTTCCACTGAATTATGTCATTATATCATTAAAAATTTTATTTTCATTTATGACTTACCGTCAGCTAGCTGTGAGTCCTCACATTTGATCACCTCTATCCTTCTAGTCAGAAACCTAATAAATTGTAAATTAATACTGGCAAACCTAACCTACTCAGTAGTGTTTAAAAAGTAAAGATTTCTTTTAAGAGGAAATCCTATTAAATCCCAAGCCTCTCCTATTAAATCCCAAGTGAACAGAAGTCTTAAAACACATTAAAAAACAGCTTTTATGCAAAATGTGTTACTCAAAGTGAATTTCCAATGTTGTATAACAGTGTTTATTCAATACACTCTAAAAGACTAGTATTATATATCTCTTTAATGAGATTCGATCTTTCAATCCTTGGATTTTCTTAAATAACATGTCTACAAGTTGCAGAGTGACCTTTAACAAAAGTCACTCTAAAGAGATGATCCAACTAGTCTCAGGTGATTTTTAACCTAAAGAAATCAAAAATGGGTCAACTCATTTGATCAGTGACCCCAAATTTCAATATATTCCAATTCTGTCAGTCTTGGATTCCAAAGAAGGCTCATTCTACATAGACCCATAGGTTAAAAAAAAAACCTTCAGTGAACACTGAAATGTAAAATGCATGGCTAAATGACATATCTCATGGTGCTACACACAAACATGCCATAGAGATGACTCAGAGTCAAAATTCAAGGGTACAATTCCAAGGCAGGTCTCACAAAGAGGAGCAGATTTCTGTCTTAAGTTTCCTTATTACTGGTCATCTATGCCACTCTGTTCATTGTCTCCTGTTCATTGAGCCAGTGGTCACACTTTCTCTGTCGTCACCTATTATCCAACTGATCTAGGTTATTTTCTTTCCTCCTCTTCTCTACACCTCTTTTCTTTCTTACCTCTTGCTTTTTCTACCTTCCTCTCATACTTCTAAGCCTGGTACAAGATGACATCACCACACATCCAGAGAACTCCCTTCTTTCACAACGAGTCAGCCAACTGTCAAACACCAGATATAATTTTCAGGACTCAGAGTCAATAAAAGCAGGTGTATTCCATGCGGGACGCTCAGGGACTTCCAGAGATGTCCACAGACCCTGCCAGCTATTTTAGTACTTGTGTCATTTGAGAATTTTGAAGACAAGAATTTTTTCAAATTTTTTATCAAAAATTCTGCTGAACCCCATGGTCTAAACATGTTCAGTTCATCAAAGCTGTACAGTAGCAAAGATGTCTTCAAAAATGCTTAATTAATTAATCACTATATCCCATTATTGAAATTTATGCTCCTAAATAATTTTAAGTATGATTTAGTACTATCTAATAAAATGATAAATAAATTATCTATTATATTTAGAAGTGGTCTAAAATTCCTAAAATACAAACCCAACTGTAAAAACATATATCTTTATTCTCTTCCCAAACTACCTTTTCCTCTTTTATCCTAAAAATAGCACACCCTCTCTTCTGAGTAATGTCACCACTACCCTACCCTGAAAGCTGCAAGCCCATACAACAATGTGCTTCCAATACATACTGTCATTTTCTTACTCAGCTCAGCCACAGGTTAGGAGGTGTACCTGTCTGAAACGGAGCCAATCATGGCACCTTAACCCACCGGACAAAGTTGATCTATATTTGTATAGATAAGGGCATGTGACCAAAACTGAATAAATTATAGCCCTTTCCCCAGATTTTTCAAAGTGACATTAAGGCAAGAGGGGAAATCACTCTCAGGTGGTGATGAAACTGGGCATCTTAAGGCATGAGAGCTGCCAGCAGCCATGTGCGTGCATTGTGAAGAAAGCTGGTCTGAGAGGACAAAGCCAAGATTCAGACAGAAGCAGACGGAAGAAACAGAGAAGACCAAGCACCCTGCCGCATTCCGATCCCTGGTTCCAGTTGTCCCTGACGATTGCCACACTTCTGCCTTCCTCCTGGGTACATAATAAGCCTTCCAATAAATTCTCCTGGATAGTCAACTCAATTCAAGCTGTTTTCTTGTAATCAGTAGCCAAGGAAATTCTATATAACATACCAAACAAACTACAAGGTAACAAATTTGACTTCTTGGGAATAGGGGAAGGAAAACTATCAGAAATGTATCTGCAGCAAACTTAGTACTAGTCAATAGGCTGGCATTTAGAATGACACTATTTAACATTTTCTTCACCGCCCTCATAACTGAGTGGTAAACCTTGCCTTTTCATAATACAGCCAATTTCTTGTATTTTTTAGTGAATTTCCTCAGCACAAGCCAGGAGCATAGATGTGCATAGATATATGCATAAATATGTTCTGGGCTAAAACATGAAGATTAAGATACTATGGTTGCCATATGATCCTCTGGAATATAATTAGATCCAAGGCAAGAAGGCTTTGAGTTCTCAAAAAATCTATTTCAAGATAGTAATGGTTGTATGGCAAAACAGCACTGACTACCAAAACTCAGGATGAGACCTGGTTTTCAATACAGTAATTACATTCAAAAAAGCAAACTCTAACTCCTCAAAACTGATACCTACGCCCTTTACTAGTTCTCACTAAAACAGAAAGAAAAAAAATAAGTATAATGTTAAGCTCTTAGAAGCTAATATATTCATTTTACTTGTTTTACACAGTTATTTAGCACAATGCATGAATTTAATAGATGCTCATAACAGAAGAAAACAAATCATATTACAAAATCCAAATAATTCTTAATTATATAAACTTACACAATTAGGTTCTATACATCAACTTTAGAACTACAAAGTCTTCTCTAAGTTATTCCAAAAGACTATTTTCATATAACTTTTAGAAATCTCCACTGAAAAATTATTCCTATGTAAACTGTATTTAATCTTTTCAATCAGCAACATGCTTAAAGAACATAAAGAGTATCCAGGACCAGTACTCTAGACTTTTCTACCTACTAAAGTATATATACGTATACATATATACACATATATATACATGCAAATGTACATACATGTACACATACATAGATATATGTACATATATATTTATTTATATATGCACTCTTGTATATGTGTATATATATTTATATACATATTTAGGGTATGTGTATAGACATATATACACATAATATGCACACTAATGTTGAGATATATTGTAACTATATATACCCTACACACACACACACACACATACACACACACACACGAGTAACTGAATTTGATTCAAACCCCATCCTGCAACTACATTAATAATTTGGTCTTAAAAGGATATTTAAGTGTGTATTCAAATACGGGTAGTAAAAACATCTTAAAATCGCAGGCCATATCCATAGGAAATGGTGTCATTTGATAAAATTTCTTTAGAATCTCTACTTACAATTCTTAAAATAAGTAAAATAAAAACTAAAAAAGAACTATAGATATAGAAAACAAGTTGGTTATTTTTATTCACCTCTCTCCTGTTTATAATATGACTCCATTAAAAGACCTTCTATAAAAACTTAGTAAAGTTAAATTTCAGGTCAAGGCTTTTTTAAACTTTTTAGGTACCAGCATAGAAATAATATACAGGATTCCTGCTGCTAGTACAGGAGAAACCATGAAGCATGTGCTGTAAAGAAGGAAGCCACATTCGTTTTTACCTGCATTGATGCTCCCTCCACTCTGGCCACACAGGCCACCCGATCCAGGAAAGTCACAGCCACGGGCACTGCCACAAAAAAGCCTTTACAGAAGGCCTTGAAGTATCTTCTCACCCAGCCTTGCGACTGTGCCATACCTAAAAACACAAAGAAAACAAGCATGGAATTAGCCTCAAAAATGGTAAAAAAAAAGAAAGAAAGAAAAAAACTGGCACAAGAAAAATAAGAGTTAAGAAAAGTAACATCATCTCTTAATATATTTCATACCCATCCCTCTAACCAATGGAATAAATTTGACTTAAATCTCAAAGGCAAATACACTAACTCAGGTTAACTCTTTTTCAGTACCAGAAAGCCACTTGATGTCAGTGAAACTTTCTCTTCACAAAGCAGTAAGTTAGAAAACAAATAAGCATTCTAAAAAAGTAAATCCTTTCAGGTTGTTGACTATTATGGTGGTAATGCTCCTTATACCCCTGACATCTGTTCTCTTCCACAGTCACAGAAGTTTTAATGGGACAAATGGATATCCAGCCTCCCTTGCAGCTAAGAGCGACCATGTGACTAGGTCTGATGAATGGCATATGAGCAAAACTGAAACAGTCACACTGTGCCCTGAAAAGCAATATGCCCTCCCCTTCCGGTTTCCCTTTTTTTTACAACACCATGATAACAAGGCAGAGGTAGGAGTAAGATTACCCATCTCAAGTTAAAGAGAGCAAAGCAACACAACAGAGGGTCCTAGGTCCCCAGCACCATGGAGGCACCATAAGTGTGTGGCACTACTTGCATGGGAACTATTATATGAGAGATCTATCACCTTCCATTATGTTTAAACCACTGCTATATGAGTCTGTGTTATAGCAGCCAAACTGATCCTAACTAATATGACAATGAAGTCTATGATAGATCAAGAGGAAAAAAAAAAATCACTGCATATGAATTCAATACAGATAATTACCAACACTCATCCTGTAACCATTTGACTAATTTTCACATTTTCCAGTGATAAGCAATCCCTTAACTGTCTCATGCGATGAAAAACAAAAATAGTGAGAGATCAAGATATGCTACCCTATCAGACCAAATGGAGCCAAACATAGACCAACAGATGAAGGGCCTTCATAGTTGGGAAAGATTAATGATGACCTTGCCCATGGTTCTTACTCAGACAAGCTATAAGGGCTATCCAATATTGAAGGAGGAGGAGAAAGGAGTGGTGACTTAGAGGTGTCATGACCTCTCCTTCTTTGCAGGGTGCAGCTGGATCAGAATAACTTTAAAGTTCCCCAACACAATCACAAGGCTTTGTTTAGCCTACAAGTCAGTTTGCTTCCAAGATGACCTAAGATTTCTGTCCTTCGGACCAGGTTCAAAAGGGTCCAGAAATGCAACTTAGACCAAACCTATACCAAAAAGGCATACACCAGGACAGTAGTAAATTCAATCCAGGTACTCATTTCTGAAGAGTTTACCCACAACCTATGTAACTGAAACTTGAAATGAGAGAAAAGAGGAACACATGAAGAAAGGGTGTCACTACCTATATGACACCCAAATTGTTGTAGTTATGGGATCGCTCCCAAATAGCTTCATCCAAAAGACTTCACCTCTAACTTTATTTTAAAGGAATTTTTCCTTTGAAGACACAAAAGAGGGTCACATGGTAATGAGGAATACATAGTCTTCTGATCAGGACAGAGCAAAAGAATTCTCCAGAGTTATTGGTATAGGTAAATGGCTTTCAAACTGTTGTGAAAGAATATACATTCTATACAGCAACTAAGTACCTGAGTACTCACTCACTCATACACATATACACTCATACACACACACACACATACACACACACACTTACACATATATCCTCAAAATGCAGTAAATAAGAACTGTAAAGTTTCACAAAGCAATATTTATTCTTATTACATAGTAGGCTATCATTTTAGTCCATTTCATTGAATGGAACAAGAAAGAGGAAGGGAGACCAAATTATTCTAGTGGTCCTGGGCAAGAGATGATATGGTTGGGCCACAGTGGTCACAGCAGAGGTGGAATTAAATGAGCAGCCTTGAGGCACCCGGCTGGCTCAGTCAGTGGAGCACGTGACTCTTGATCTCGGGATCATGAGTTCCAGCCTCACACTGGGCATAGTACTTACTTTAAAAAAAGGGGATGGGGGGAGGACAAACTTAAGATACAGATTTTGGAGGTTAAAATGACAGGATTGGAAATGGAAGGGCAATGAGAGGGGAGGGGAAAGGAAATAAGAGAACGAAGTGTCAAGATGCAGTAGTGACCTAGGAAAGCAGTTATTTTGTCATCCCCGTGAATTGCATTCCAAAGTAGTAGAAACATGCTCATAATTCAGTTTCTCAAATGTTTATTCGGTTCTACTAAGCACAAAGCCATAAGTTAGGTGCTAGGGATATAGGAGTGGAAGAGCAGATATGATTCTTGCTCTCAAGGAGTTACAATGTACCAGGGATGATGCCCCTAAACAAATATTTTAAATGGAAATGAGCACTGAAAAAGGTCATGTCCTGGTGCATGGGAACATGGAGCAAGGATGTCCCTCCATCAGCAAATGACCTGCAAAGGTAATAGCATTTGAGCTGAGACCTGGGCATTTCAGGCACATGGAGTAGCATGTGTGAAGGTCTAGGAGCAAAGTAAAATGTAGCTGTTTAAGAAACTAAATGAAGTTCCTTTTGGATAAAATTCATGCACAATTTATTTCCTAATTTTTAATTTTTACTTTAGTAAACATTTAGTTATTGTCTGCTAAACACCAATGCTAAGTGCAGAGAATATAAAGATGGCTGGGCATGCAATATAATATCATTTAAAAACTCTCACAAACAATACTTTATACGTTCTATGTAAATTTGTATCTGCATATAAAAGTATTTAAACTAGAATATTATTTGCATTATTGTGTTCATTATTTAATAACCACCCATATGTCACGTATATAATTAGTAAAGTATAGAGAGAGATGGAAAAAGGAGGCTTATCAAAATGCTGAGCAGTTCATTCTAGATGCTGGAAATGTAGATGATGACTATTTTCTTCTTTGAACTTTCACCGGTTTCTAACATTTAAGACATAAATATGGTGCTATGAAGTCACTTTAGTACATGGATAGTGTGGGATGATGCCAGTCCTGATCTATTTTCCATCTGATAAATAAACCACCCTTTCTCAGTCCAACCTCTATGCTTCTCTAAGGAGAATGAAAAACACCAAATAAGATTCTTCCTATTTATAAAACACACTTAACTGACTGCAGTTCTTTCATGTAGCCAAAACAGGCTATAATGCACACTTGGGAAAACTTCCTGAGAGTTTGAAAAGCCTTAGACAGTCTTACCTTCCAGAGTAAGCAATAGGTTCAAACAGGAAAAAAAAAAAAATGCTGACAATCCATATTACAAACAACTTGACTACTTGACTATTTTAAGTAATTAGCAAACTGGCCTTAAACACATAAGCCTATGCTTGCAGAACTATTAAGCACAAATATACTTTAACAATCAGGTTAAATAGGCGTGAGGATTTAGACTCAAAAAAAAAAAAATGGGACAAATGCAAGTAGAAAAGCATGCTCCTATACATCTGCGGCTCTGAGAATTAAAAAAGCAAACATATGACAGAATGAAAATATAAGTGTTCTCTCTGTGGTTCCTTGTGTCCTGCGTGCATGGACCTTCACTAAATGACCAGGGATATGTACAGAATAGAAACTGGGAAAGCTTTCAAATACAATGATGTGTTCTCCCAGTGTTGGGTAACCTGCATGCTTACAATGTAAGTTAAGGGGGAAAAAAACATAAGTTGCATCAGAATTGGAGCCCCGGAATTTTGAGCCTCCCCTTCTTTTCCAATATCCACTCTCCCATAAACTGCTACTCCATCTGGTCACTGTGGCAGCCAGGAAGGAACATGGTAAGGAGTCCGGGACCCTGAGGTGACCTATAACCAGCTGCATGTGTCACCAACTCACTTCCAGGCCTCAGTTCCTGTAAAAAGAGAGAGGCTACATTCAATTTCTAAGGCCCTATCTATGCCCCACATTCTTGTTTCTTTAAGTTGTTCCATTGTTTCTCCAGGATTTCAGCAGAAACTAAAATAAAAATTTTAATAAGTCATTCAGGTTATTACTAAGTAGTTGCTTTTTAGGTTTGAGACTCTAAACGTTAAAAAGAAAAAAAGACTTTGCTTTTATTAAACAACTAGTTACAATAGGAAACAAAGAAGCAGGAACAAGTGCCAATCATGTGAAAGAACATTTAATTACAGGTAAAGACCCAAAGCCACTGCTCTTCCACTTCTCAGCTTCACAGCTCCACTACTGACCATCTCCTGCACAGCAAAGTCCCGACCAGTATTTTTCTACCGAGAGACTCTCAAGGAGCATGGGGAAGGAGTGCCAATCTGAAGTTGCACAGATTCTGCCCAAGCTGAGGAATAACTAAAGCTACCTTGTAAACAAGTTGTCACTCTTTTCAGAGGCTTAAAAGAAAAGCTTCAGTACAGTCCTATCCTACCTCAGTTGGAAGGGCATCTATACTGCACAGAAAACAAACACTTTAAAAAGTTTCTATCACAGGGGTGTCCGGGTGGCTCAGTCAGTTAAGCATCAGACTTAAGCTCTGGTCATGATCTCATAGTACGTGAGTTCAAGCCCCATGTCAGGCTCTGTGCTGACAGATCAGAGCCTATAGCCTGCTTCAGATTCTGTGTCTCCCTTTCTCCCCCTTCCTGCTCACACTGTCTCTCTGTGTCTTTCAAAAATGAGTGAACATTAAAAAAAAATTTAGGCTTTTATCACAAAAATACTAAAGAAATCATACATAAATGACACAAACATTACATTTCTATGGCAAGTCGTACAAATAGATAGCTTAAACTTCTATGGCATTCACATTTTTTGTTAAAGTTTATGTACTTCTTTTTCTATAGAAATTGCCAAAGAATCATTGGAGTGACCTGGTCTTTTATTCACGCCTTCAATGCTTAAAACCTCTATACTAATAAGCGCCCAGCATCTGCTTCCTTTGAGAAAATTTCTTTTAAGCAATGACAATATGCTACTAAAATCATCCCCAGCAAAAAGGGAATAATTTTTATCAGTAAC